CCTCCCACCCACCCCCTTCTGACTCCATTGCCTTTTATTCATCTACCCACCCCACTGGTCTTTTGACACAAATGCACAATGAAAACTAGTAAAAGCCAAAATAATTCTACAGTAAATCACCCGTGGTTCTCTCTTTGTACTTGCTACTCTTCTACTTTTCCTTGTCTTTATGACTTTGAGAATAAACTCTTCTGATACGTGGTAGTTTATGTACAATAAAACATACAGCTGACTTTAAAAACGTCGTACAAGTAACTGCAGTTTATAAACCAACCTACGGAAAAGCTAAATAGTTACAGCCATTTTCAATACAGGCTTGTTTCCAGTGCAAAATCCATCACATGATAAGTATGTCTACTATTTAGCAGCTCAAATAGTTTTCATGGAAAAAAAAGCCTGTGACAAAGGGCAAGTGCTTTGCCAGGAACCCAGATTCAACTAACTGTTGTTCAGCCCCCACTGTTGCTGCTACAAGGATGTGTTTTTGGACCACCAACCTTGCTATGCCTGACTTATTACAAGCTATATTTTTCAAGTCATGATACTCAGGATCAACAGTTACTACCATGCCGTTGGTACCATTGACCATGTATTTTCCAAGTGACTGAATTAGTATCTTCAAAACCACACAAATATACATGACATTAATATCCTACTGCACCATGACATTTATATCAGAAAAGTCACGGTGAGAAAGTTGATTTTTGCTTTCAACTTTCGAAGATAATAATTCAAAGAGAAAAATAACTAGATTATTGTACAAGGTGTTTAAGAAATCTTAGGAAGGTTTTTAATGGTTGGTTTAACCAAATCTGCTTATTCCACCTACTTCTCCAGTACTTTATCTTTTATAGAACAGAGCGCTCACTATCTCACCACCTTCAGTCTCAAAAATGTGTTTGAGCAAATCTGTTCTCCATTGAGAGAAAAAAAGTACAATAAAAATCAGCTTAAAATAAATTTATTAAACAATACAAAAATAAGCATGCTGGAAATCGAGATACATAAATAACATACAATGCAAATGAAAAATGGAAAACGAGACAGGTAACTTAACAACTGAGCCAAAAGGTACAACACAAATGCTAAAGTAAAATTTTAAAAAGCATTTACATTTCTAATGAAATGTTAATGATGCTGACGAAGAAAAACAAACAAACAGCTAAAATGCTTGAATATCAAGAATTGCTATTACTGTAGCACAGGTGAACACTAAAACCGTTGCAGACTTCAAACATTCAATGACTAGCCTCTATCACCGCGTTCTTTCAGACCCGCTCACCAAACACAACGTAGACATGGGTAAGTCGTCATGGCAGGCCTAACCATGGTCCCCACTGCCTGTGTACCCTGCCACCAGTACAAGCCATCTGCAGGCATGGCAGGCCAGAACAAGCAACTGAGTGTGGGCAAGTTACTCCTGATCCCTCCTGGCTAGAGGCTGGCTTAAATTCTGAGACAGGCTTCCAAAGCATGTATTACAGAACTGTAATATATGTATACACATATCTATCTCTAAAGTAAAGATTGTGTAAGCTGTACCCTAAATATTCTTATTATGCATATTAAAGATCTAGTCGTTTCCTTAATTTTAGATCTTCCACGCAGGACTTGCTTCTACCACAAGTTTTGTATATAACTGATACGCATAAATACGGTCAGATTTTTAAGTTGAAGATGGAAAATTATTCCATCTGGGTTTCAACCATGGTTTTAGAATTAGCTTCAAACAGTACTAAAAATCAGGAAATGTTGCGTGTAGAGTTAGACCAAGCAAATCCTGCATCATACATTTTCCTTTTTTAATTGAATCAGTAATTTAACTAGCAACATGTCATCACTGTAAATACTTTCTAGTAGCAGCAGACACCTTATTTTCCCTCTTGCAATCGAGAGTATTTCAGGTAAAGACATGTTGTTTTGCAGGATCTATATCCTTGATTTGTCTCTGTAACTACTAGCTTTCTGTAAAATCTTCAAATAGATGAGATATTTTTATAACTCAAGACTTTGCCTTTAGTTTATTTTCAAGATAAGCACTGACAAACCTGACCTTATCATCAGTGATGATTATAAACCAGCTATTACTCAGCAATTTATTACTGACAATATTACCAACATCTGCACTGCAGATTTACCTCTTCATCCCAGTAAGACTTCAAATTCACTGAAAATTGATATTCTGTATTGTTTTGCTTAAACATTTTAATCCCACGCTTCAAAGATGGGAAGCCCATCCTTTTGTAAGACACTACTAGATGAAGACTATTCAGGGCTTACTCAGAGCTTATTTCAAATGTCTATGCAAGACTAACAATACCTAAACAAAGCAATTAAGAACAGCTTGCTTCCTCAGAGAACATCAGCTTTGCTTTATGCATCTTCCTGAATTAATAAACATTCAGATGGGTCAAAAAAGGGGCAGGAAAAAACCTAACTCTCCCCTTACGCAGAACTCCTATATGAATGCACTCTGGAGTTTTAGACAAACTAAAAAGGGCAATGGGCAGGGAGGGGGGAAGAAGGCTTTACTAAGGAGTTATCTGTCTTTGTCTTTCAAAATCCTCAATGAATACCATTTATCATTACTTGGATGAGTTTTCTGCAGTTATATAAGCCAGGACTCTGGGGGTGGTGTCTATCAAGTTATCTGCAAACTTATAAAGGGGAAAGCTTTACACAGAATAACTTTCTACGACTTTTAACATCATTAAGAATCTAATAGCTACATGTGTCAAGAATTTAGCAAGTCTGTGCCCTCTGTCCAGCATTGCCTATTGAGCCTATTTGAAGCTTACTTACACCATGTCAAGCTATACCCTACTCAAGAGACTCAAAATGATTATCAAGTGCAGATGAACAGATGCGTTGCCTGTAGAAGAACGCAAGTCCTGTTTCTTAGCAAGCTGACAGAGGTGCAAACTCAGTAAAGACTTTAAAAAGTAGCAATTAATGATAACTTTAAAAAAATTTGCTCATGTGGTAACTTTTAAAAATATTGCTCTCATTTTATACATGAACATGCACACACATAAGCAGTTGAAAAATAAGTTAATTGTAAACAATTTTAATAGTATCTACCTATCTGCTTTACTCTGAATATACTTCCTGTTCACTACTCAGTTGGTTGCTGCTCTAAACCCAAGATTGCTGACATTCCTCTCTAGGGTGGAGCCCAGCATTATTAGTAAGGCAGACTTCTGAGTCATAGCTACCAGCTGGCAGAACAAGCAGCTAGCAAGACACTCAAAATAGTTTGGTCAGAAATTTTTCTGCTGCATTAGTCAACTTGCAAACAAGGCAGGGTTTTTTTCCCCTTCTCCCAGTCCTCCCCAGCCATTTTTGTTCTTTTTATTTAAATTTTAGCATTAGCAATTATTAAAGGTTTGATAAAAAAACCCTCAAGATATTATCTTCACTAGCATGGCCTATCCAAAGGATCTATTTCTGATCAGAACAATTTGAAAGCTCACATTAAAATAAGATAATGGTAATATCATGACTCAGAACCTATCTCCACTTAACATACAATTATTTAGAGATCCATGAACTTGCTGTATGTTGCTGACACTATTTTACTTTATATTTTTATATTTTAATTCAAATTCTTCTCTCTTTACATGCAGAGGAGACATCACAAGTTCTTGCTTATCTCTTAAAGTTAATTGACTTAAAATTCTCAGATATAAACAAAAATAAACAGATATACACAGAAGTGGTATATCTTTGAAAACATTCAGATTTTCCTTTTTATTTTCTTTTTTTTCTTCCTTTTTTTTTGGAGCAAGTGTGTTTTATGTAACTACAACAGTCAGTTAACAGCTTTGGGTTTTGTTGTTTGTATGTGCTTCCCCCCACGCTTGAGCTTTGACAGTCTTTTTGGTATAGCATACAGAATTTACACAAAATGGATATATAAACGAAACACCAGGCAAACAATATTCAAATCAAAGTTAAATCTAGAGATGCTTGAGGGCTTTTAAAATGAAGATTTGAGTGAAACTAGAACCCATTCGTTTAGTTTTGCTCTCCCCGACCTTCCATTCTATACACTACGGTTCTGGAGATGTCCTCGTTTGATTCAGGTGACACTTTTTTCCATACTGTTTCTTTTAAAGCAAGTTCTTGCTGGAGATTCTCATAGTCCATTGGTCCAAAGGAATGCTAGTTGTTCAAGCAACATACATTATTTATTAGTGTATTTGAAGGAAAAAAAATCCATACTTGCAGTCAATGCTAACAGACTCAAGTTTTTCACCTCTTCACATAAAACTCTTATTTTCTCTTTTCCAGTTATAAAAAACTCAAATTCCAAACTGGGTATTTTTTAGATGCACACATGCAAATAGAAGCCTTTTTAAAATCATTCTACTGTATCTTCTCCCATTGAAATCTTCATGCCTTAGTTAAAACATTAATGGTAATAAAAGCAGAGCTTTTGCTTATCTCAAGCACCCTCACACTTTCATCTTTTGTACTGTAGCTGGAGTGGATTCAGTTCATTCCCAGAGATTGCTTATACCACTTTCTTAGAAACAGGCACTTATCTACAGCCCTGTAACACCTAATTCACTGCCTGTGCAACTCTCAGCAAGTCATGTGGTCTCAGAGGTATCACTGCAAAAAAAATGCTGAACACACATCTCATGCATTGCAGCACAGCACAGAAAGGCTAAGCCCATCAGCTGGTCAAATCTTTATTAAAGGCAACCAGTACAGTAAGACTCTGCAACTGTTATTCAATACCACATACTTAGTCTAGCAAGGGAGATGAACTGCATGAAATGGAGTTACAAATCTAGTATGAAATTCTACTACACAAAACCCTGTGATAGCATGGTCCACACAGGTAAGTGTCCACTAATACTGTAAACTAGGTAGGTTATCTGAAAGCTTTGATGCAGTACATGTCATTGAGCAGTTTTGCATTTAGAGAAGAACTTCCCATATTTCTTTTAATGCCTACAAGCAGTGCTCACTAAACACACGTATTAACTTACCCGCTGATCACCACCTTCTCTGCGAGGATCAAGCTTTTTTGCAAAGTGTCTCAAGTTATCGTAGTTATGGAAATTGCACAAAGAAACCAGATCCTGCAAGTATTTGAAGAACATGTATTATTATTTGCATAAGACAGTCAAATGCATTTTAAGATTGTAATACTACTACCGCTTATGTTTTACATCATAACCTAGTAACTTAAACCAGTAATGAGAAGCTTATTAATCAGTCAATACTGATGTCTACAAGGCCCTTGAACGTAATACAATGATGTGATTAAGTTCTAACAAAACCATTAAACTCATTTTTAAAGCACCACCAAGCAAGCAGCAATTTGCAGGATAGTGTTTCAATATATTTCTGCTCCAGCTGTATCAAATACTTCAGGAACAGGAAGAATAGTCTAGGCTAGTCCACTTCGTAAAACTTTAATCAAAAGGATGAAACAAGAAAACATGTGACAAAATGGACTTTAATTCAGTCTGAATTACTGCATGAAACATTATAATTACAGGACTTTGCCATGCTGTTGTATTATTAAATGTGAATGTTATTTTCTTGTTACTTGTATGCCATGATCATCAGTTTTTAGGTCTCATTATAAACACAAAATAAATGCAGTAACTCCTTTGCCTACCTGTTGTTCTAAGATCTTACATTAAATAATATTTCATATTAAATTTTATATTAAATTATCAAGACTATTTGATATGAACCTTCAAAATAGAATTAGTGACTTCTTAATACTCTTAATTGGCAGCCGCACAGTTAGATAAACAGAAGTATTAACAGTTAACTGCTGCTTATCCACATAAACTGCATCCTTGCAGAGCCTAGTCTGAACATTAGCAACCATCTTATGTTTCCTATGGGGCTCTAAATAGCCTACTATTCTCTTTTT